AAAGGTATCTGAATACTTTCTAATTTTTGAGTGCCCTCACAGGATCCTCTTCTGTTCTTTTAGCTGCCTGTGCTCCCACCTAATGTCTGCAAACGAGCCTCTAATGATGTGTGTGCAGCTATTTGCTTATCAGTGCCACAGCTGCATGTGTTCACAGACACACAGACATACTGACGTTTGTAGGCGCAGTGACAAATGAGCAGGGAGATAGTGATGATCGATTATATCACTCGCTAAAACTTAGCGATGCAAGCGAACATGAAGTCTTCTTTACAAGACAGAGGCAAGGGAGAGAAGCAAGCAGGCGCCTACAAAAGGTAGTTTTTGTTAAACTCAGAGGATGAATTCACTGACACTGGAAAATAATATGCCTATATCTGCAAGACGGATGGGCATAATGTTCCATAGACTCCCCCCTGACTTTAACAATCCCCTAAGACTCTTCTGTTACATTTCCATGACGTTAAAACATTTGTTTATAGAAGAAGCTGATGTACATTCACGTTCCCATCAGGATGAATTGCAACAACTTTGGTGACCCCTTCAATACATTTTTTAAAGCACCATCATCAGGTTGAGATAATGCAAATGTAAAGCAATTCACACTCTCATCAAACTCATAGTGAGCGTTGTGAGCAGGACATTAATTACACACAGATATTGTGCAGTCCATCAGGTAAAATCAGCCTCTTTTGGCAGGTAGCAATGTAAAATGTGTGAGCAACAATTTAACATTTTAAATTTAATAGAACATGCAGTAAAATATGTAACCTATTACTGATAAGCCTAATGTGAGTCTAATTTGTAGATGTAGCAGATGAATTAAGTGATTAGCTCTTGCTTCGCTCCGTGTGCAGCAATTCACAGATGGTGCAGCAGAAGCCCATTTCCACCCTCAATACTTTACCTCCCCTCCTCCCTCCATTCTTGCCTATTGACGTGATAATGGTCACAAACTCATGAAGCCATTGAGTGTGCTGGTGACACGAGGGTGAGTGGGGACACAAACTCTCCACCACCCAGTAACACCCATTAATCAGACCTCTTCCAGCCCTCTGTCCCTCCCTCCAGACGGCCCAACACACTGCCAGGGGCAGTAATGTAATCCTCTGTGTGTGTCTGTCCCCCGTCCTTGAGTGTCCAAACCTGTCTGTCTTTATTTGTACCTTATCTTTGTTTTCATACGACTGTGTATATGGTTTGTTTTAAAGATAAAGATCATGACAGTGGCGAGTTTAGGGTTTTTAAATTAAGGGTCATAAGGGGCAACAATTCACACAGAGGGGCGAAAAATCCATGCACGATTTCTCATTCAGGAAGGTGCATATTTAAGTTATTCCTTGTTTACTGTTAGCTGTATAGCTTTGATTTAAAGCCACATATGATTAAATGTATTTTGAAAATTGTTAAAAACCTAATTCACAGATTGTGTCTTTCATCACGGACGGCTCTTTTCATTTAAATCACAGCATGGATTGATGTCAGAGTAAATCAGCAGGCTGGTGTTCAATGTGTTGACATCTACATCCTAAACTCCCTCACTCAATAATGAAATCAGCCTTGTCACTGTGACAGCTCAATACAGTCAATACTGTTAACTAACTCCGAGCACACACACAGAAACAAAACCTAATGTGTGAGCAAATACTTATGCGTTTAGTGATAATAGACAGATACAGTTTAAGAGATGTGATTTTATTCAATGAGAAAATCATTGATCTCCACTTCAGGAAAACTGATGACACTTTAGCTCCTGCTGGTGAAGAGCTGGTGTTATTGCAGTCACCACCATATAAGTGTGTGTGTGTGTGTGTGTGTTTGTGTGTGTTAGGAGATGTTACGTGTCACAGCAGAAGTATTTCCATGAGGCAATATGCAAATTAAATTACAACACGATATCTCATTTTCCAATACTTAAAACTTTTACTTTTTAAAAAATGGTTGATATAGAGATTCATTAGTTCTCACATTCGATGTTATTGACTGTGGGTGGCAGTAAATTCAGAAGGTGGAGAAGCCCAGTCTTAACCTAAGGGTATTTAAAATGATAGTTTCCTGAGTTTAATGTTTTTCGGCTTATCAGGGGAAAGCATGCAAATTTAAAAGCCTCCTCGAGGGTGTGAAATGTTGATGCAGTAAAGCTTCATGAATCACTAACTGACGGGTGATTAATGTATTCGATATCTGCATTTTTAATCCTTACATCAACATTAAATACAACTAAATGACATTGACATCAGATTTATTAATTTCCTGACCCATTGGAATTTCCTCTTTATACACTAATGATATAATTCTCACACTGAACCTCTTTAAAGGTTCAATGTGTAGAATTTAGTGACATCTAGTGGTGAAGTTTCATGTTGCACCTGAATACCCCTCATCTCACCCTCCACTTCCAGACAAGAAAGAGAACCTGTGGCAGCCTTCAGTTGTTTTAAAAACTCAAAAGGTGTTTAGTTTGTCCAGTTCGTAGAGGAGACCCACTCCTGATGTAAATATAAAGTATTTAAATATAAAGGCCTCATTCTAGGGTAACGAAACAACAATTGTACAATTTAGATGATTTGTGAAAACATCACTAGGATTATTTTATATTCAATTTCTGCAAATAGATCCTTTTCACCTAAATCTTTTCGAAAAGCTGGATTTGACTTGACACAAGTGCCTGTACTGCTATTATATTATCACACAAAAACATTCAGTTCTCTCAGGGGGACTGTCGGCTTGTGTGTCAGGCCTTTTTGGAAACTGCAGTAAAATAAATTTCACTGACACAAAATCTGAGCTTGAAACACGAAAGAAACCATTGATTTCAAAATGATGTTTTCTAAAAAGATACTGCATGCTGTAATGTTTTTTGAGCTATAACCTAAGTGATAAGACATTAATACTGGTTTTGATATCGAATTTATGACTGACTATATAAAGAAAATGAACATTTATGGGTTGAATATGGCTGATAGTGAAGGTAGGAATCCACCTTTTGGTCTCCTTGTACGACATTGATGCCCCTTTCCCAGCAGACAGATAGGAATCAGCAATGAAGCTACACAGCAGAGGTGTAGGATAAGAGGACATGTTACGTACAACACTCGTGCAGGCCACTGTTTATCTTGACTGGTAACATCAGGTATAGGCTCCATTGCAGCATCAAGACACAAACAACTTTTCAGACATAGCTTTTATCCACTGACAATGATTTAAACACACAAATAGCTACTGTGTATTATTCTGTGTATACTCATTAATTACTGCCAGAGAGACAGAGAGAGAGAGGAAGAGAGAGAGAGAGAATTCAAACCATGTCCACTTTCACCCACAGTTACATGACAGGAAATGATTTCATGAAGAACTTCAACTTCAATCACACCTCTGTGTGTGTGTGTGTGTGTGTGTGTGTGTGTGTGTGTGTGTGTGTGTGTGTGTGTGTGTGTGTGTGTGTGTGTGTGTGTGTGTGTGTGT